TGCCGGCGCTGGCGCGCGCAAGGCCAGGTTGCCTTGCAACCGGTTAACCTGGGAGGACGGTTCAACTGTCCAGCGAAGGTAGTTCAACACTTCGATCAACTTCGTAGTGCACGCCACGTATTTGAGGGTCTCAAACGCAAAGCAGCCATAGTAGGCTAAGGCTTAGGAGTTGAAAACCAGTTGCTGTAGGTGCCTGGCACTACTTCGTCCATAGCAGTGGCCACTGCTTCAGCAGAAAAGGGATGAAAACAGCACGTAAGGCTAGCTGCCTATAGGGCAGCAAGGCACAGCATAACAGCGTCTCCAAGATGGCACGTCAAGGGTCACTACACTGTACACTGCGCACCCTAACTGCACATGCTATTTACCGCTCGGCCTTGAGCCTGGCACTACAGTGATCAATCCCAGAGAAAAAATGTGGGCCTACAGCTACAGCAGCATTGACTACAGAGCCCCGGCTAGAAACACTGGCCTAGTCAGGGAATTCCTATTTTTGTATTTGAAAGAGGGAGGGGAAGAAGAAGAAGAGAGAGAGGGAGAGAGAGAGACAGACTTCTTAGACTTCGAGCTTGTAACTCCTCCAAGTTACAGCTGTCAACAGTTAAACAATAGACTGCAGCCTCCTGGGTTGATCCAGGAGATTGAAGCTGCCCCCAGTGGTTCCTTGACGGGGCTTACTTCTGCCATGAGACCTGCGTGGATGAGACCAAAGGTGGAATGTGCAGTGGCGGTGTACTCATGAGTCGTGAAAATTTATGCATGTTGTGTTACCATGATTGAACTGTTCGGCAGCTTCAGGAACAGGAGGAGAAGTTTCAAGACAAGCCGACGCCTGATACAAACCTAGCAGCTAGCATTTTCCTTTCCATCTTTTCTGGCTTTAGAGAACGTGCCTTCAGCAACGCTTGACTGGCGAATTCGCAATGCCATCCGCACGGTGCCGCAGGTGGCAATCAACAGTTTGCTAAAAGCAATCATTCCCTCCTCGAGCCTTGCCGCGCTTCGAAAGGTGCGTTTGGTCTGAACAGAAGTACTCGCGTGGCCTTCTTCTCCAAGCTAAGCAGAAGATATTGAAAATGAAAGCATATGAGGCCGGTGCCAAGGAGCAGCGGTTCAGACATTGGGCAATAAGCATGAATGTGTAGGGGAGGAATGCACCAGAATGCTTGAGCCCGCATCAATCAATGCAATTTATGTTTCATGTTTTTGCGCGAGCCCGTTGACAGGTGCCAGAAGAGATGATGACAATGACAACTGGCCCTCGCCCGAAGCACAGGCCAGTGCGTGCTGTGTACGTATTTCATCGTATTTCAATGTTAGGTGTTCACTTATATCCTCAGCCCGGGGGACAGAAAGTTGTCGACCACAAGTTCCACCATGTTGCAGGAAGGAGAAAGACGGAGATGATCACGAGGATGAAGAAGAAAGAAAAGAAAGAAAAAGAAAGGCCAGCTTGCCAAGTGACTAAAGCTTAGAATGATGTGCCCTTGCCAATTGGTTGTAGCGGCTGCCACGCAGGCAAGAGAAGCAAAGGAGGCTGTAGGGTTTTGGGTTATTTGTTCGTGTGGGAGGGAGGGAGGGAGGGAGAGAGAGAGAGAGAGACACACAGAGAGACAGAGAGAGAGAGAGAGGCAAGGCAGAGAGATACAAAGAGAGAGAGAGAGAGAGCTGGAGGAAGAAAAGAATGCTGTGTTGCAGACATGGCACCTTGAATCCTCATTGTCCTTATCAAGCTTTTTTGGAGGGTTGCTCCACAAGTCCCCACAGGTTCGATGCAAACCAACACTCACACAGCATCAGTTTTGGCCGATCAATCATGATTCTGACATATTCGTGCATTGTTCTTGTTACTGTTGGTCCGATTGGTGATATGTTTGGATTTGTTCCCAGGCTGCTCGTGCGGAGCACCAGCCGGAGGAGGTGGGACAAATACGCTGGTTTTCGCACGACACCTGTCGAAGCGCACATTCTTGAGGTCTGTGATGGATCGTCGTAAAATGACTCTAGCGGGCAGTCATGTTGGTTTGGGAGGCGCCTAAAGAACCTGAAGCCAAACACGAGGCCAACATTCGGGTTTGCCTAACTTTTGCAAAATACCAATCAACTCGAACCAAATCGCAGCCTATTCGTTGAGAAATGCCAGTTCTTTAATCGTCTTGGAAATACGTTAGCTGTTTTGTTGCGTTTGAGTCTGAGTTTGGCAAAAGCGAGGCAAAACCACAGCCTTCTGCTGTGACATCATCGTACAGGAACTTGCCCGGTGACTCCAAGGACCAGTGAGTGAACAGCAAGAAACTAAGAATGGGGTTCTCGTTCTGGGAGCGTGGATTCTTTTCGCAATTCAAGGCATGGAGATACCTTCTTTTCTGCCCTCAGGAGATGCTGAAGTTGAAAAAGAAGCTACGAGAAATTCAGAAGATTGAGGACCCCCGAAGAGGCAAACCAGGAGGTTCTATGGCCTCGAATGTTCTTGCCTCGGCCTGGTGCGCTAGCCGCTAGCTTTCCTCGCCCAAGTTTGTGTTGCGGAGATTGTTCCACAAGAGTCTGAGATCAGAATGTGGCAGAGCGTTCTCAGCACAGGTGTAAGAACATGGTTTCTTTCGATGCTAGGACTCCATGGCAGCTGGTGAGAGTGTTGAGCCTCTTCAAGCTGAGAAGCTGAACAAGAAGGCCATGTCACAGAAAATGTAAATGTAAATGTCTTATTTTTACATCAGGCATCAGGCACCTCTCTTTGTCACAGGAGGCATATTTGGAGGAGCTCCGCCTCTTCGAGTCTTTTGTGAATGAAGGCGAAAATGTGACCCATGGGAAATGCGAAGCCGGAGAAAGAAGATGGATTCGCTGCAAAGTGTCCATTCTGAATGTCACCTTATCCTTTCCCAGAGCAGCCATTTGCATCCTTTTGCTGCAGGTGATTTAGAGACCTGAGCCCTGGTGGGCAGATGGGACTAGCTAGGAATGATGGCAGGAGATTGTGGCGAGTTTTGAATATGTCGAACACGATGTGACCTTTCATGGAGGGAAATATTCAGCGGATTTGGATGGATTTGGAGATTTGTCGAAAGCTAGCTCGAAGTTGTCGTCCAAATTTTGGTGTTCAAAAGCAACATTATTTGACTAACAACTGTTTCCTGCTTAGCATTGCACTACAGTGCTCCCCTGCATTCATGGCCAGAATGGAAATGATTTCGTGGTTGTTTGGGTCAAATTCTTTTGAGTGGGCACTTCGTCCACAGTGGATGCGTGCGGAGGACCTTCCCGAGGTTCAGCCTCCAGTCGAGTGTAGCGAGCCGAGCGCCAGGCTCAGGAACGGTACGAGTGGTAGTTCAGCACTCCAGCCTAGCAGGGCCGCAGGGCCTGGCACCTGATCCGGCCGTGCCCAACTGGCTGTGGAGTACGTGAGCACATGCCCGACCGTTGAAGCGTGACGTGAAACTGGCTCCCATCCAACGATAAATCTAGCAAATCTTGAGCTTGAGAAAGGAGCTTTTCCGGCGCTTGAAAGTCTGGTTGTGTCACGCTACCCCATCGCTCTGCCTATGGCAAAGTCAATGAGCAGTTTGTTATGTGAAAGAGGATTATATCTCCGCATGGCATGTGCATCATAGATTGATTATATAGAATTACATAAATTACATATAAATATGGACATTTTACCGACCGATCAAATGGCTTTTCAGCATACCTGGAAGACTATTCACTATTCCTCTCATTATTTGATCTTTGCACTGCTAAAGCTACCCGGTCCTTTGGTCGCCCAGTCCTTTGCGTTTGATATTGACTGGGTTGCCCGCAATCCACTGCAAATCAGCCACATAAAAAGAGCCAAAAAGTGAAACATAGCATGTCCACAAGAAATCCGACACCTACCCCACCCCAACTTATCATACTCTGTCTTGGATTGGTATGTTTCTTTCTACCTTGGTCGCCTTTGCGAGTCTTGGACGGGAGGGTACCGGTCTTTTTGAAAAGCATATCCTACGCCCACCAGCAAGAAGTGAGAATGCGTGCTGGAGAAGGCTGGCAATGCAAGTGCAGAACATTGCAGAATTGCAAATTAATGCATATTATACAAGCATGTACTGTATATATGTGTATATGTAGAAGGCTTTATATGGGTTTATGAGCTACAAAGTTTTTGCTGCGCACAGTTGGTAACTATTGAGCAGCGTGTTCATCGGATTACTGAAGTTAATCAACCCGTGCTGAAAGACGCAGTCAGACATGAACCTGACCATGACAAAATTCAGGATGTCACCACCATTTGCCAAAACAAAAATTGCGTCCATGCTTCGAGACTGGGAGTCTTGCCATGCAAAGTGCGCTTTGGCTTTGCAAAGTCTTTTTCAGATTTGGCCACAGTTACCGGTCCGCAAAAACTTTGCGAGCACCAAAAAGCGGGAGCGTTTTTCAGTGCGGTGGATGTTAGCGAAGCTCAGCATCTTTCAAGCTTGCAGATGCGCAATTGTCCCTGGTGTGCTCAGAGGCCATGATTGACTCAGACAGCATAGTCAGAAAGTGATGAATATTAAATTATCCGCTTGCTTTCGCTTGAATATGCTGCTGTATCTCATCTCAAGACCTTGGGTCTATATATTCGCTGAGGCTGGTTTGAGTTCACCACCAGCTTTAGCTTGTCCTTTTGCAAGGACAGCTGTTCTCAAGACCGAGGCAAAAGATAGCAGGATTGACGAGGGCACACATGGTCAAGAATGGACGTGGCAAAATGTAGCATATGCATATATATAATTCAGGAATATTTTTCAACATGCATATATATATATATAATCTGGGTTACATGATGGCAAGGGCACGACGCTGTAGTACAACTCAAGGAGATTATTCAAAGTAGGACATTGGCAAATGATTTGATTCAGCCGGTCAGTTTCGACTTTCGCCACTGGACCTGTAGCATTGACGAGCGTTTCCGTTTGAGAGTGGCGATGTGTTGGGCAAAGCAGACAAGTCCTGGAAGATGTGTCCACTAGTAGCTTCCTGTTCCTAGTCGCAACGACCTCCAACCTAATAGCGATGGCCTCCTAGCAGCTTCTCGCTCCTAGTAGCTGAACAGCCCCATGCCGCGCTCAACATGCGCAACTGGCTGAACAGCCACCATGGTTGGTTCTTTGCGTTTCTCAAGCTCACTGTCGTGAGCCGGTGTGAATTCACATGATGCATCTCCTGACTCCGGAAGAAGCCGAGCTGGCCGTTGCTGCCCAAAAGAAGCTGTTGGTGTGGTTTTCATTCGTGCCCTGGCTGGAGAAGTCCCAGGGTAAGATTGAAGGGACTAAAGATGGCACGTAATAAGATAGATCCAGTTAGCATCAGGAGCATGACGAGGACATGTTGCTCTTGATTTCCCATTTTGGATTCTCCTGTGTTGTTATGTGCTGTGATGGTTTCATCATGCTTCATCACCAACTTTTTGAGGAGCACGAGTCCTTGGAAAATGCCTTGCGGATGTTCGATCTGGATGCGGACGGCGTGATTTCTGCCTATGAGATTTCAAGGGTGGCAGCTCAAGCAGGGGTACCTGAATATGCCATCCCCACCCTGATACGAAGCCTTCGCATGGGGCCGGCAGGCAGGGCAGAAACAACAAGGCGGCTAGGTATACAGTGATTTCAGCTGATATCTCTGCAAAACCAGAAGTCCCCCAACCTAGCGATGCACACTTGCATGTGCTGCATGTACACATAAACCCCCATCTTCCGGCAATCCTTTCAGTTTCGTCCTTTCATCCATGGTTGCAGCTATGTTCCCTGCGCACAACTGTCCCCAAGTACAGAAAACATTTGTCCTGAAGGAATCCCTCTTGACTCGCTTGCAGACATTCTTTTGGGCCGTGGCGTGGCGGTTCCGTCAGCTCCACGCGGGTCGATGTCCAGACCACCAGCACCACCAGGGCCACCACCGCTGCCCCCAGCACTTCCTGGCAATCGATTGCTGGAAGTGGTGGAGGAAGCCACAAAGCACCGCTTGGATTTGTCAGCCCAGATCCTTGGATTGTTGCAGTGGCAGGAGGCGCCACAGGTTCCATGGCAACAGCGTGAAGCAGATGCGATATCATGGGCCCTGCGCCTTGGAGTGCACGAACTCCTCTCCATCACGGATCCATTTGGATCCACTGCTCTAATTCTGAGCTGCAGACTGGGCATGGAGCAGCTGTGCGATGTCATTTTGACTGCACCTGGTATCTCACCAAAGGCTGGAAAGACATTGGCGGGTTGATGAAGTGATGAAGATCATTGAAATCGGAGACGAACATGATTGGGCAGCATTCTGCCTTTTTCACTTGATACAATACAAATCGAATCAAGTCAAATTGCATGTGCCATCATGGTTGTAGTCTGGAATGATATGTAGTGAACCGGGTCCAGTCATTCCAGTCACCCAACGACAGGATTTGAAACACTATGTAAATCGACACAATCAAATGGGATGGACGGCTTTGCTATTAGCAGCCCAGAACGGATTTGGTTTGAGCCTTGGCCAAGCAAGACTGCCAGAATCAAACTGATCGGACCAGAAAGAGAATGGCAGCACAGAACATTTTTGCATCGAAATTGTCTAACATATCAAAACCAAACCCGCGGATTCAACCTTTTGTCTACTGCCACGGCATCGCCGAGTGCCTGGACGGCAGATAACAAACATAACATCTAAAATAACATCTAAAAACACGCAATGACAAACACAACAACAACAAGTAACGATGGTCGCTCACATATGAAATGTTGCAGCAAGGTGTCTTCTTGTATATAGTTTCTTCTTGTAGTTTCCGCATTTTTGCAAAGTCCCTCGGTCGGACTGCGGTTTGGGGGGCAGGGGTTTGGTCGGAGCTGGGGTGGTTTCGTTCTTGTGAGTAGTGGAAGACATTTGAGGGACGTCCAAAATCCTTAAAGCCTTATGTGGAGTTTTGGTTTTGGTCATGCAGTTGTTCTGACATACCCATCACGAAAGGCAAAGCTCAATGGTACAAAACCCTTGAGCTGTAATTCTAGACGGGGTCGGAGGCTCTTTGTTTCTCCCCAGTCAGGAGCCGTGTTCAGATGCACCACTGACAACAAATTACTTTACTTCGAGTGATCCCCACAATGACATTTCAATCATTTGTCTTGATGCCATAGTGAGGAGAATGTTGCCATGGTCGTGAGTATTGTAGTTCTCGATTTTGCTTGTGGGTCCTCGGGTTGTGTGCTGTGATTGTGTGTTGTGGTTGTGGTTGTGTGCTGTGTTGTGGTTGTGTTTGTGATTTTGTGTTTGTGGCTGTGTTTGTGATTGTGTGTTTGTGGATGTGTTTGCGGTTGTGTTTGTGGCTGTGTGTTTGTGATTGTTATTGTGTGTTTGTGGCTGTGTGTTTGTGATTGTGTGTTTGTGGATGTGTTTGCGGTTGTGTTTGTGGCTGTGTGATTGTGTTTGTGGTTGTGGTTGTGGCTTTGTGTTTGTGTTTGTGTTTGTGGTACTGGTAGTCGTTGTGATTGTGTGTTTGTAGTTGTGGTTGTGGCTGTGTCTTTGTGATTGTGTGTTTGTAGTTGTGGTTGTGTTGTGGCTGTGTGTTTGTGGTTGCGTGTTTGTGGTTTGTGTTTGTGTGTCTGTGTCGTTGTGTGTTTGTGGTTGTGTGGTTGTGGTTGTGTGGTTGTGGTTATGTGGTTATGGTTGTGTTTTTTGGGTTGTGTGTTTGTGGTTGTGTGTGTGTGTCCTTGTGAATTTTGTGGCTGTGTGTTTGTTGTTGTGTGATTGTGGTTGTGTGTTTGTGGTTGTGTGTTTGTGGTTGTGTGTTTGTGGCTGTGTGTTTGTGGTTGTGTGTTTGTG